TTATGCTGTCCGCTGGTCCCCCAACATTATTTTTGAAGAAACAATTCTTTATCCCATTTCATTGTCTTGACATGGAAATTTAACTCCTTCTTCTTTCTTTTTTTAATGAAACTATGTTTTTTTCATCAGTTTTTGTTATAGCATGCATGTGCTTGCCAGAGAGACACAGAGGCAGAGTGAAAGAACGTGAAAAGCCACCTCCCACAGGGGCTGGCTATACCACAATCCCTTCTCCTCTAGCAATTTTGGGCATGTGCACACGCACGTACTTCATGCAGTTTTTCAAGCCTCCAGGCCCAGAACTGGAATTGCAAGTTGGGATCCAGCTGCCTTCACCACCATGCCTCCTGGCCGGCCCTGGAAACTCTCCAACCTGCTTAGCCCTATGTGACAGTCCTTCTCGGTCCCTTTGCTATATTTCTCAGGTACCTTTCACCTGACTAGAGGTATCTGACAGTTATTTTTGATTTGTTTGAAGTTTAAACCTGGGTCTTTGGGCCAATCAGTGTCTACCAATGGCCATACCCTCGTTTGACAGTAGGATGTGTTTACACATTCTTTATTTTCTCCTGTTACAAGCCATGCTAATGCAAAGGGAAAACTAAAGACATCTTTTTCCATTCATTTCTATATGGGACAGTTACTGGGAGTGTCTTGAGCATTTGCCATTTAAAGTTAATTATCCTAGATGATAACTCGGTTGGTAAGGTTGAGGGGAAATTTATAAGGAAATGGGAGGGAAAATATTATAAAATGCTTCAAAGTAGACATCTGGGAACTCCTAACACCATTTATATGGAAGCTTCATTAGGGAAAAAAAGGAAAAAAAGAGGGCCAGCAGGTGGCATGGAGGTCAAGGCATTTTTATCCCATATGGCCAAGTGCATGGTTCAAGTCCCTGACTCGGAGGTTTGAAAATCACACCAAGTGGCTATATGTGTTGTGCCCACTCCCTGAAGGAGAAAGGAGGAGAAGGGATGGTGGTGTGGGTATCTGTCTTTCGGGCGAGAGGACATACCCTACAGCAAAAACAAAAACAAAACAAAACAACAAAAGTATCCTTATCTGACATTTAAGACTGTCCCCAAATCTGACCCTTAAGTCTCCACACACGGGTTCCCAAGGAGGGACCCGTTATCTGGTCTCTGCTCCCCTCCAACATGGACGCCTTGCGAAGACTCGGATTACTTTGGACGTCCGTCATCGCTATTGTTTAGTAGTAACTACACGCCCTGGAGCAGGAAAATGAGAGGAAGGACTGAGCAAGCTGCTCTTAGTATATCCCTTATTGGCAGGTCAGCAGCTCAGCAGAATCTGCACAAAACCTTCCATCCTCATGGTCCTTTTCATGTCTGGGCTTAGCTCCTACTTCGAGATGTAGCTGAAGCGTTAATAACTCCAGCTCTTGGAATCGCCCCTTGTCTCCACGTCTGTCATCGCTGCTTGCCTATTTGGCATTAGATAGCAACCACCCTGTTCTTTGCTGGCTAGCATTCCTAAGTGCCTGTCACCTAGCATGTTGGTATGGCATCTCACATGGAACACTTTCCACGAGACCTGGACTGTGGAGACGCTGTCCCTGAACAACCCCCTTTTAAATCCACCAGCAGTGTGGTCACAGGACCTGAACGTTTGGAAATGATCCTGCTGACATCCCAATTCGCCTAAGGTTCTGTGGCAAGGTCAGGTTGCGGGCACCAGGGTTCCCTGCCAGGGGCTGGCACGTGGCACTTCTCAGACACATCTCACACAAAGGAAAGTGAGACGATCCCAGAGCTTTGAAATTGAGCAGATGCAGATGAGTGCAAGACTCAAATTCTATCGAGTTTCTGAACCGAAAAAAAGGAAAGTGTGTGATTTCTAGGAATCAGGAATGAAAGATTTTTCAGAAATGACGTAGCTGGGATACATGCATTGTTTTGGATAAATAGATACATAGCATATCCCCAGAAAGGACACATGGTAAGGTACAGACTTAATGATGCAATGTTCTTCTCTTAGAAAAGGTTGCTGTTGGACCAGCAGCTGGTGTAATGGTTATGTCACTGAACTCCCATGTAGTTGACCGCGGTTCAAGTACCAAACCCAGTGACTTAAACTCATGCCGGGCACGTGTGCATGTGCGCCCAAGATCCCAAGAGGAGAATGGAGAAGGGATTGTGGCATGGCCATCCCCCCCTGGGGGGGTGATTTCTTGCTTTCTGTCTTTCTGGCGAATGTATGCACCCGATAGCAAAATCCCCCCCCCAAAAGTTGCTGTCATTCCCTAAAGAATGTCATATATTGTCAGTCTTGCTGATGGGTGTTACTGGGACACTCGTGTATAAAACAGACTGTTCCACTGAGAACAAAGGTAACCTCTGGAGCTCCAAGCAATTTATTATTAGGGGGAACCAGCAGTTAGCGTAATGGCTATGTCGCTGGACTCCCATGTAGTTGACCGCAGTTCGTGTCCCGGACCAGGTGGCTTAAAACTCACACTGGGTGCATGTGCATGCATGCCCAAGATCTTGAGAGGAGAATGGAGAAGGGATTGTGGCGTGGTCATCCCCTCTGGGGGGTGATTTTTCGCTTTCTGTCTCTCTGTCTCTGTCTGTCTGGCAAGCGCATGCACCCTATGGCAAAAAAGAAAAGGGGGGGGTCTTCAAAATGTTCAAGAAACATGTGTTTTATGAAAAAAACTATGCATTGGATTTCAAATTTTTACATCAAAATAAACTCATATTTTAATTCCAGTTCCCCATAAACTTTTGACATACTCTTATCTTTGTAAATAAGCAGATTCGAACCACACTTGAGGGCTCACTGGGAATTACAGAGGTGACTGCTCATAGACCAGACGCGGTCATGCTCATTGTGAATAAAAATTGGCTCCAGCTTTATATAAAATGATACCTAAGATGTTATTAGAAAAGTGCTGCGTTTTCTCCAGTTTATTGCTAACTTGGAAAGTTTCTTTTTTTTTTTTAACTATTTCTTTGCTTCAGTCCTTTGCTTCAGACTCTTGGTCATCCAGTCGAACAAAGCCTACAACTTGGAAGAAATACAAGTGGCCTATGATGACAGTTCTGAAAAGGATGTGTGCTCATTTTTACTCTTAAAAGTCCATCCTGGGACCAACAGTTGGCATAATGGCTATGTTGCTGGACTCCCATGTAGTCAATGGCGGTTCGAGTCCCGGACCCAGTGGCTTAAACTCACGCCGGGTATGTGTGCATGCGTGCCCAAGATCCTGAGAGGAGAATGCAGGAGAAGGGATTGCAGCATGGCCATCTCCGGGGGGGGGGGGTGGGGGGGGGTTTTTCGCTTTCTGTCTCTCTCTGTCTCTCTCTCTCCTTCTGGAGAGGGCACGTGCCCTATAGCAAAAACTTTTCCCCACTCTCCCTCTCCCCTAAAAAAAAGTCCAACCCTTAAAACCACTCCCAACAGTGAAACAGACACATTTATCTTGAATCCTGCCCTGAGATGTTCCAGGAATGCTGGGAATTATGTTTTCTTTGTTCTAGTCCCAGCCTGGGAATCCCAGCCAAGGAGAGTGGGTCCTCATAAATATGCATTGCCCCTGACTGAGGACTCTTGCAGGGCAAAGCTGATTAGCAAATGCTACCTGCAGGAAGCAGGGAGTCCCACACATGCAGACAGCACGCTGTTAGCAGATTTGATTTCATTTTTGTCCTCAGGCTTGGGAACTTCTCTGGGGTCAAACTTCTTTAAGATCTCTCCATTCAGGATCCAGAGAAGAGCAAATAAAAGGACTCTCCCGTGTGGTCCTCTTCCTTTGAGCGCTGGGGGAGGAAAATGAGAGGAAGGAGGGAGTAAATTGCTCTAAATGCAATGTATCCCTTTCTTGCCAGTCCAGCAACTCACCAGAATCTACACAAAACCTCCCCTCCTCACTGGAAGGTGCAATCAGCAATACACAGAAAACACCGTATTTGTCTGGACAACTCATGAGCATAGATTCGGCCTGCAAAATAAAAAGGGAATGAAGTTATGACACAGTCCCTAGGACACGGGCAAATAATTGAATATATTTATGGATTTATTTTTTACTAAGACCCTTCTCCCCTTTCGAAAGGAAACTGCTGCACCCAACTTCCTGCAGGTTTGACTCTAAAAAAAAAAAAAAGCCCCAAACAACACAAGTCCTTTGTAAACCACCCCGCCCACAGATAGCTGATTTTATTGCCATTTCAGGGCCTAGACAGGCTGCAGGGGCTCGAACTAGTGGGTTGCACTGGGCCCTCTAGCAGGCCACCCTCGCTCACCACCAGCAAGAGGGGCACCAGCTCTCGGACACCCCCCACACCTCTCCACGCCCCCGCCTCGCAGCCTGTTGCAGGGAGACAAGGCGAGAGGACAAGAGGGGCTCAAGCCAGGGGTCCATCGGGGCGCGGAAAGACTATACATTATCACCCAGGGAGCCAGCAGGTCGCCTCTGTCCCCGGCTCATGCTCAGGCTGGAACCCAATCCCTGGCGTCCCAGACCCTTCCGCCCTCGCCAACCCACTCGACTCCACTCCAGGCCAGACGGCGGGCGGTCCCATTGCAGTGACAAACCAGAGGGTGGTAGGAAGGCATCGCGGCGGCGGGGGCGCGGCCACCTGGGCTCGCTGTCCCCTCTGGCCGGGACTTGGAAGAGCCCACGTACCCTCGAGGACGCTCAGGGAGCGCCCGGCCCGGGAGCTCGGGCGCCCGGGGCTGCAAAGGCTGCACGTGATCCCCCCCGGGAGTGGTGCGGCCCTGCAGGGGCGGGGCGGCTCTCGGGCTCTCCCCGCCCCCTCCACCCCTTCCGAGCGGCCGCGGGAGCGAGGGAGCGCGCGCCC